GTACACATTGTACAACAGCTGAAAATCTGAAGAATTAAAAGAAGTAGCCCACTTTGGTTTGGAACATGATGGGGTGACGGTGACGTCATCGGCCAAAATTATAACTTTTAATATCTCGAAAACAAAAGCTGCACAAACGAAAATTTCAACGGCACAAACCTGCACAAATGGAGCACTAACGAACTAGCCCACTTTGGTTTGTTTTGGAACATGATGGGGTGACGGTGACGTCATCGGCCAAAATTATAACTTTTAATATCTCGAAAACAAAAGCTGCACAAACGACAGTTTTAACGGCACAAACCTGCACAAACGGAGCACTAACGAACTAGCCCACTTTGGTTTGTTTTGGAGCAATATGGGGGGATGGTGAACTCTGGTGACCTAAAAAATAATTTTTCATATCTCAGAAACCAAAACTGCACAAACGAAAATTTTAACGGCACAAACCTGCAGAAACGGAGCACTAACCACTCAGACTATTTGCTGAATTTTTTTGACGTGGGTGGGGTGTCAGCTTCACACAGCTCTTTCACTCTCTTTTATAGCTCTAAAGTTCATGAAACACTCTACACTTTAATTTCGTAATAAAAAAAATACACGATTGGCACTTTAGTTATAATTTAAATGCATTAATTATTAATTGCTGGTGCGATCAATACTGCAATGATTGTACCTGCATCTGGAGATGGTTTAAAGTGCCAACACTTAAGAATGCTGAAAGTGAAAGTAAAAGTGTGTGATTTACCAGAAGTCGTGGTTTAAATCAACGCATAAGACGGCTGCTGTTGTTTCATTTTCAGCACACCGCTGAAAGCGGAATGGATCGATACCAAGGTAATCAAATGCTCTTTTCTGAGAACGTTTGTGTGAGTGCATTTTACTTCTTGTGACTAAGTTACTTCAGTCCGCGGAGATTCAAGTGGACTCACCGTAAACTCGAAGTGGAGGTCCCCCAGACATGTCCACTTAAAGATAAAATTTTTATGACCGCGAACATAGACTTTAATAAATATACGCCTCATTTAGCGCTGCATCACGTCACCGCCATCTTGTATGTGGCAGCAGAGCGATCGGAGCTCCTTAAATCCTGTGCTGTGTGGACTTGTTTCAATAGTTTTACGAAACAAACTGGATTCATTGGCATTACCTTTCACAGGTAAGGATGAAAGATCAGAATTACTTGACTTTGCAGCCAGAAATTCGCTTCCAAACAACCGAAAAATATTTCCTATGTAGCTAAATTGGCCCAAAGTAACCGCTGATTGTTAGCTTAGCAGCTAACGTTTTCATACTGTTTTCTAATGAGAGAGCTGATGAGAAACCGCTGTTAGAGGAGAAGTTAATTAAAAACCAGGGGATTTAGTGAGGAAAGATCAGTCAGGATCAGAGCTGGAGCTGCTGTTCCACTGTCTCTGTTTCCCAGCTCAGCTTCACCATGTCGGTATTTAGCTATAAAGATGCTACGAGTCAGAGCCCAACATGCTGAAAATGACTTTTTCTGAATGTGAAGGAAACATATAAGTATTTCCTATTTCACTTTTGGATAATTTCGACTTTTTGGAAGGCAAAATGAATGTAGGTAGCTGAACAAGAGGTCTTGTGAGAAATTCTGTTCAGCTGTGTGAAGCTGACACCCCACCCACGTCAAAAAAATTCAGCAAATAGTCTGAATGGTTAGTGCTCCGTTTGTGCAGGTTTGTGCCGTTAAAATTTTCGTTTGTGCAGTTTTGGTTTCTGAGATATTAAAAATTATTTTTTTAGGTCATCTAGAGTTCACCATCCCCCCATATCGCTCCAAAACAAACCAAAGTGGGCTAGTTCGTTAGTGCTCCGTTTGTGCAGGTTTGTGCCGTTGAAATTTTCGTTTGTGCAGCTTTCGTCTTTGAGATATTAAAAGTTATAATTTTGGCCGATGACGTCACCGTCACCCCATCTTGCGCCAAAACAAACCAAAGTGGGCTAGTTCGTTAGTGCTCCGTTTGTGCAGGTTTGTGCCGTTGAAATTTTCGTTTGTGCAGCTTTCGTCTTTGAGATATTAAAAGTTATAATTTTGGCCGATGACGTCATTGTCACCCCATCTTGCGCCAAAACAAACCAAAGTGGGCTAGTTCGTTAGTGCTCCGTTTGTGCAGGTTTGTGCCGTTGAAATTTTCGTTTGTGCAGCTTTTGTTTTCGAGATATTAAAAGTTATAATTTTGGCCGATGGCGTCACCGTCACCCCATCTTGCGCCAAAACAAACCAAAGTGGGCTAGTTCGTTAGTGCTCCGTTTGTGCAGGTTTGTGCCGTT